CACACACATGCGGAATGAAGGCGGTTTTTGTGCGAGGACTACGTTTGCCAGCCATGAGGGGTACTCTACCTCCTTGATGTGCTTGATAGAGAGGAGCATGGCGACCTCCTTCTTCACAAATTCCCTCCTCTCGGCCGAGAGGGGTCTCCTCCGTTGCTGTACTGGTTTGGCCGAAGGGTCCACCGAGAGGCGGTGGGTGATGACCCTTTGGCTGATCCCCGTCATGTCCTCCAGCCCCATGCAAAAACAACGGAGTAGGCGCGGATGGCGCTGATGATGCCGGTCTTCGGGGACCTTGGCTCCAATCTTCACGACTCTCTCCGGCTTGGCCGGATCGAGCGCGAAGTCTTCTATTCCTCGACTAGTTCGGCCCTCGGTCTCCTCTCCTCCGCTTCCACAGTTCCGGTGATGGTGTCAATGCGGAACTCCGTCTTGCTAACCTTCTTTGTCACTTGAAGGTAACAAGCGCGGGCCAGCTTTTGGTTCCCCCTTGAGTAACCGATTCCCCCCTCGGCCGGGAACTTGAGGCAGAGGTGCCTCATGAAGATGACGGCCTCGAGATCCTCGAGGGCTGGTCGGCCGAGGATGATGTTGTGGGCGCAGTCGATGTTGACGACGACGAACTCCACCTCGAGCTTGGCTCTATGGAGCCCGTCGCCGAAGAGTACCGGGAGGGTTATAACCCCCTCGGAATCAATGGTGTCACCGGTGAAGCCGACAAGAGGGGTCTTGATGGGCCGAAGGGACCCCCTCACCAGATGCAGCTCTCTGAAGGTACTGAGATACATTACATTGACGGAGCTGCCCGTGTCAATGTAAGTTCGGTGAATAATAGTGTCATTTATCTCTGTGCGGATGACGAGGGCATCCCTGTGTGGGGAGGACACTGGGGGGAGAATAGCGTTAGTGAAGGTGGTGGGTTCCTCCCTCAGCCGCTTTACTGGGGGCATAAGAGTGACTTCCCCCACGTAAAGCGACTGAGCCCACTTCTTTCGTTGACTTGTAGAGTCACCCCCGGTATTTCCCCCGGTGATCATGAGGATGTGGCGCTTCTTTTCTTGGTACCGGGGGTACTCCTCCTCCTCTTCTTCCAGGTTCCCAATCTCCCTCTTCTTGCCGAGGGAGATGGTGTTGGGGTTGACCCATGCATTTGCTCTCGCAGTTTGTCCTCGAGGTGGCCCTTGGTGAGGGGGGGGACTGTTGCTGAGGGCCCTGGATAAACTGGGACAGATGGCCCACTTGTATCAACCTTTCGATGACCGCCTTCAGCTGATGGCAGTCATCGGTTCTGTGCCCTTGGTGCCGGTGGAAGCGACAGTAGGGGTAGTCTGGGTTGATGGCATATACTTCTGGGGGTGCGCGCGAATCTCGCTCCACCAGGCTCCTCTCCTCAGCAAAGTCGAGGATAACGCTGACGGGATGCGTCAAAGGTGTCCGAGGGTGCTCCAGGAGAACAGGTTGTACCCAAGCCCTCGGGTTCCCCTTGTAACCTCCCCCAGGCTTGGCTTGGCCGTGCCGGGGGCGATCACCGGAGGGGGCAGAATCCTTGGGTTGATTACGGGGAGCCCCTGGCCCCCGGTTGCCTTTGTCGTCTGGCCGAGGGCGTTGCTGATCCGGTACGTGATGGCATTTCTCCACCTCCTCGGCTTCAGCATACCGGTCCCCCCGTTGTAGGGCCCTTATATAATCGGGGGGGGGGGGGGGGTCGATGATGAGGCTCCTCGAGAAATTCTCGGGGCGGAGCACTGTTTGGAGGAGGGCCAAGAGGGTCCCGTCGTCAGCGCCATCAACTTTATCAGCCTCCGTCCTCCAGCGCTCCAAGAAGTCCCGAAGGGTCTCCTCCTTCCTCTGCCTCACTGTCAGCAAGTGGGAGAAGTGTTTCCTTGTGCGGCGCCTTCCCGCAAATTGCGTCAAGAATCGCTGGGCGAGTTCCTGCCATGAGTCAATGCAGCCCTCGGGCAATCGATTGAACCATTCGTAAGTCGGCCCCTCTAAGGTGGAGAGGAACCATCGGCACAAATACTCATCCGATGCCCCCACCATCATCATGCTGTTTTGGTATCTGTTGTAGTGCTCCTGGGGGTCAGTTTTTCCATCGTAGGGCTTGATGAACTGCCCTCGGTATTTCTTCAGGATCCAGGCCGCCAATACCCTTGGGGTGAAAGGCGTCCGGGCCCGGAGCTGTATGGTGGGTTCCCCGGAGCCCTCGGTTATCTTCCTCTGCATTTCCTCCATCTTGGCCAACATGGCCTCCTACTTGAGATCCGTATGAGGGGCAGAGGTGGTGGCGTGTGCTTTGGTGGCCTCCATCTCGTCAAGCCGGCGCTGGCGGGCCGCAATGATTTTGTCCCGGGGGTCCTTCGGTAGGGCCTCCGCCCCCTGCGAATGGACGCGGGCCGAGTGAGCCTGGTTGATTTGGTGGCGGGCGTCGTTGCCATGGAGAGGTGCCTTGCCTTTGTTCTGAGGGGGACGCCTTTCATTGGCCCTGGAGACGGATCTGCCACTTTCCTGAGGCCTCTGGAACGCCTTCCCCCCGAGGCGGTCTTGGACCCCTCGACGGTCTTGCGCCCCTCCGAGTCTCTCGAGGGCGGAGGTCCGGAGTTGCTCTTTGTTTACGTTATGGCGGTCCCGGGATTGGACTTCCTGGGAGGCTGTATCTTGGGCCACGATCCCCTCGACGTTCCCAATCCGGAGGACCGGGTTCCCGAGGGGGTGTGGATGAGGAGGTGGCATGATATTCTCCCCGACCTGAGGTTGAAGGGGAACCAAAGTGCCGAAGGCTCCCGGGTTCTGGGTGAGCGTCTGGATGAAGGCGGAAAACGCCGATTGTACGTCGATTGTGATGACCGGAGGGCTAATTTGGTTCTCGCTCCGGTCCTTTTTCTTGGCCTCGATGCCGAGGCGGGCATCGGGGGCATTCTGTTTAATCTGATGGCGTAGGTCGACAGCCGTCTGGTCCAACCCGGCGATGACGTCGCCCCCGGGAGCCCTGTTAGAGGCTTCGGGGACGTCGACTTCGCCGAGGGCCAGGTTCCTGTCCTCAACGTTCTTGGAGTTGGCACGAGTTGTTCTCACCATTTTAGCTAGGTGTTTTGTGTTTGGCGAGGGGGAGGGTTTCTTACTTGATTATTCGACCTCTCAACGAGAGCACCAAATGATGGATAAGTGTACCCGGGGGGGTATCTATCCGAGGGGTTACTGCGGGGAGTAACTAGAGAGAAGTCAGAGCAAGCAAGAGAGAGAAAGTGTATTGAATATGTAAGTTAAGGCTTTTTAGCGTGGTTTACAACGGAGAAATGGGGCGCTATTTATAGTAGCAATAAATGCCAGACAGGGACACATGTCAAGTATCCATTGACCGAGGGGTCACCTCAACTGGTTGGCGTTGACAATCGCATGTGGCCGCATTTAATGCGGCTGTTGGATGTGACGTCGTACTTGGTATGATGATCCCTGAGCATGTGGATAGGATATTATGTCGGAAAAGGTGCCCTCGGCTGTAAATGATTAGCCGAGGGCTCTGAGTACCAGGGACCTCCTTACTGCCGAGGGCTCTAGGTGCCGAGGGCTACTGATTTTTGCCGTTTTCTCCCAGTAATTTTGTTTTCTTGATCCGGCCATCCTGTGAGAATTGGAGCCTTCGGCCAGGGGGCCAAAGGCATCCCTAGTGTGCCACGTGGGTTGCTTAGTACTTGGGCGCCGTGATTTGAGCCTGCCGTGCTTCCTGGGCCTATGGGGTCTCCATTAGAATAGTAGGAGTCTATGGACCGGGGGTTCGTGGGCCATATACTCCATCAATATTAAATCAAAACTCGCAGTACAATAAGTAGAATTGCAAACACTAAAGTAACCATCAATGCTAACTTCCCACTAAACATACATAATCACAAGTTCATCGCTCCCTCACTTCTACGTTAGATGTAGAGCCCGTTTGGTAACACTGAAATCGGCTGAATCGGCTGATTCTGCTGAAATTTATGAAGTTCTGGCTGAAGTGGTTGTATTGGCTGATTTTGTTGATTCATGAAAAAATTAAATTTAAAATATATTTTATTAATAAAATAAAGAAAAAATTATATGTAAAAATAGCTAAAATGGTCATCTACAGTAACTTCAGTCGATACAGAGAGAAAGGTAACTCCAACCTTACTTTTTTGTTTATTACAAAATTCAGTGCGCGAAATCAAAAGTTACGTGTTTGGTGAAAAAGCTGACTGATAAGCCTGATAAGCCGAAAAAAGGGCTCACCAGACGGGCTCGTAAAGTAGTTCACCCTAAAAAGAACGAGACTAATTGTTGACAATGATTTGATCGTTACTAATCTCTTAGCGAACGATTAAGTGTGTGTGAAGGTGTTCTAGAATAAATTAGATCTCTCTTAATTTATTCTTCATGCAATTATAATCCTAGTGGTCATTCTAGGTTACAGAAGATATCAATTAAATCATTCAAACACAAATTAAATCAAGATTCATGTAACTAATCCATCATGAGTTTAGCCATACATCATGATTCACCCATTCATCAATCTTAAATCCCTAATTAAAACTTACTCACAAATCATAATTGAAGAATCAATAGAATTGGAAAGAATATAATTAATTGTTATTAATTAAAAAGTAGGAACTTACAAATAATCGAATTGATAGATAAAAAACAATGTCAATATACATTGGTTTTCGTGATGAACAAATTGAAAAAGTACCCATGATTTAAGGGCAAGGGTCATGCTTGGTGTACACAAGATGTACACAAAATATGTACATTGCTTGTGTACACAAGCAATTGAGTATCAAATTCAGCCATTTTCTAAATGAATGGTCTGTACACACAAACAACTAAGGGCAGTCTGATGTAAGTTCTTTACAACTAGAGCATCTCCAATGGGGATGTATATTCTCTCACACACTTTTACACATGGTTCCAATTTTTATCTCATATTTTATGTATAGAACCTACATATTTCATATTTATTTTAATTTTCAATTTTTTATATCACTTTTAACCCACATTGTCATCCACTATCTCTGTCTCTAAAAAAACACTTTACTTCGATTACCCCACCCCATTCGAGGTGTACACTCTGTGCAATAAGCATTTTTCTAAGGGCAATCTGCTCTCCACTTCACCTTCCATGACTGCCATGGCCGATATCGCCGGCCTCAAGCTGGCCTTCTGCCCCAACACCGCCGTTGGTCCTTTCTCCTCCAAGCCCCTTTCATTTTCATCACCCACCTTACATCCTAATAAAGTGTCCTTTCGCTTCAAGTTCTCTAGTAAGTTTCTCCTCTCATACTTGAGAAATTCCCCAATTCCTGGTTTAACGCCTTTTCGTCCCTCAATTTTCAGCAATGCATGCGATTTCCAGCAATGATATTAAAATTGGCAGCAACATTGAAGTGGATGGAGGTCCTTGGAAGGTTACGGGTATTCTCCCCCCTCTCTGAACTTTCCTGCTCTTTTGTGCTTACGAGGGTGAATTGCCTTACCTTTTCGTAGAATTACACATAATTACTGCGTATATAACAACAACAGAAACAACAACAATCATCCAAGCCTTTTAGCCCCAAAAGAGTTGTACAGAGTATATTTTCTATATATCAACGTTTAGAATTTTATATTGGGAGTTTTTGTTACTATGGAGATGAGTTTGTCTATATTGATATCAGCACTTTACTTCACATTTCAGTTTTCCTGTTCTCATTGGCTTCACCTTTCACAATTAAATTTACTTGTTTTTTTTGGCATGTATGTATGTGTGTATCAGAATTTCAACATGTTAAACCTGGCAAAGGAGCTGCATTTGTGAGAACCACTTTGCGGAACTATCTCACCGGAAACACAGTCTCGAAAACAATCCGAGCTGGTAGCAAGGTAAAATTTCTGAGACATGCTCCTTGGTAGTAGAACGCCTCCATCCCACCATTGTTTTGTGTACGTGATGTGGTTAGATGAACTACAGGGATTTAATATTTGTGTAGGTAGAAGAAGCAGATATTCTAAAGGAAACAAAACAATTCACATATAAAGATGGTTCCCAGTTTGTGTTCATGGACCTGGTATTTTTCCTTTCACTTCACAGCAAATGACAGCATAAGTTTACTGCTATATACTGCATCTTCATTTATAAAATGTATATTCATCAATGTACAAAAATTTGGAAAATTCTTAAGGTAAACCCTTAAACATTGATATTTGTAAAATTTAACCAAAGGTTTACTTCAGGAAATATTCTAGGATATTTTAGCATCATTCAGGGTTATTTATTTTAAGAAACAAGAAGAGTTCTTTTCCCAAAAAAGAGGGCCATTTTGAGAAATCCAAAACATCAAGGGTTATCCCAGTAAATTTGCTTCATCTCTTGTAAATATCAAGTCCATTTTGAGGGCTATTATTGTTTTGAAAGAATGACTTTTTTGTATTACTAAAATAAAGATGATGGAAAAAATGTGCCATATTATTTATAGTGTCTATTTTAGTAACTTTTAGTGAGTATGACTATGTTCAGTTTTACATTGTTGTGCGTACAACGTTACACTCATAGTAACTTTAGTGACACTTTTTTCAATGAATTCAATTTCCTAATATTTAAGAGAAAACGTCTATCATCTTGCAGAGTACTTATGATGAGTTCCGCCTCAATGAGTCAGATGTTGGGGATAAAGCGAAGTATTTGAAAGAGGGCATGGACTGCAATTTGCTTTTCTGGAAGGGAAAAGTAATTTACTGTTATTAATATATTGGATAGTTTAATTTATCACTTCAATTATTAGTTTCTGACTTCATCATGCTTGGTTTATGGAGGATACACAGTAAATTGACAATGGTGTTTCTGATGTTGCAATACTTTTTATAGGTTATTGACTTTGAGCTCCCAATCACAGTGAAGTTAATAGTAGTTGATGTTGATCCTGGTATTAGAGGAGATACAGCCCAAGGTATGCTACTAATCATCAAAAATTAAAATGAATGCTGAATCTCATTGAGAAATGATATAATATACTAGTCTATTAGCCCCCCTACAATAGAATGAGATTTGTGCTATGAGTTGAAAAGCTGCCTGTAACTATGAGACTCGTAGTTGCAGAAGTGGGATGAGAAGTTATTGTGAGTGTAGGAAGGAAATTGATAAAACAACTGTGGTTTTGATATTAAAAAACTTGAAAATGTTTTTAATAAAGATATTAGTTTTAAATATTTGACAATAGTAATTGCAGATGGGTTGAAACTAACTGCTAGACGATTTAAAACGAAAAATGTAAAGAACACCTTTTTAAAAGAAAAAACCGAACAGAAGGTTCCATCAGTTTCATTTGCATCCAGTAAGCTTTTAGAAATTGTCATCCGTCATTGCTACACACCCATAAGTGAGGAAAACAACTCTTTTGCAGTGCTGTCCCATATCTTTTGGTCATTTAAGTTTAAGGCAAAGCAACATTGCAAATCCCTGATAAGGCTTCTTAACGAGGACTAAATAAATTTGAAGTGTTCATTATGAATTTATGATCTGTGAACCTATGTGGATTTGATACCTATAAGGCTATAACGCAAGATAATATCTAATGTGAGAACCTTTTTTTCTTTGGTTATGTATTACAGGTGGATCAAAACCAGCTACCCTTGATACCGGGGCTATTGTTAACGTTCCATTGTTCATTGATAAAGGAGAGGAGATTGTGGTGGACACTAGAACCGGGTTATACATGAGTCGAGCATAGTAGGCTGCATGCTGCTTGGGAAAAGGTTTTATTATCCCACTTATAATTCCCCATTTAGATTTTGGAAGCTTCCTTCAAAATGCCATTATAGTTTTGTTTGTTTATTTGCAAATTCCCCCGTCCTCCCCCGTCGAGCAAATACATGATGATGATTTGCAAATTCATATCAGTGCACCGCTGCTCGATATGTTGATAGAATAGTTTATACTTTTTATATTTTCAGATAAAGTATAAACAAACAATAGCCTACTTCTGACATCTAGTTGCTATGGTTTATCCTTTTACATGAGTTTTCCTAGTGTTAGCAGAAGTTAAGCACCCTAGTGTTAGCAGAAGTTAAGTACCCCGAGTAGATTCACCTCAACGAAGCTCTACTTCTGAGTTCTGACATCTAGTTGCTATGGTTTATGCTTTTACATGAATTGCGTTTTGCCGTTTTCCCAATAAATTTCTTTTAATAGTTACTGATCTTATTAAATGCGCTATTAGTGTGTATCTCTTTATTATTAATTACGCAAGTGTCTGCGATCTTTGGCCTGAATACTCATGGGGGCCGTAGAAACCCCCAATGGTCCTCTAAGGGGTTCAAAGTAGTGGCATTAAAGAACCTTTCGCTTCTGGGTTTAAACCAATTGAACAACCCTGGAAGGTTGTGTGTTTCTCTTCATGCTTAGGGGGTATATTCAGTCCGGAATTTCAGACTTTCAATGACTTCTTAAGTGGTAGAATTTTATGAAGTTTAATGGAGTGTCATGGACTTATTTTGACTTTATTAAAGTTTGCAAGAGTTTATAGAACTTTATCTCATATACATTTAGACCTATAACGTGACTAGTCAACAAAAGTCATTGAAAATCTGAATTGTATAGGTCTCAACATGCATTGCTCTTTTTCGTATTCATAAATGCTTAATACTGGAGTTTGTAATCATAAATGCTAAATACTGGAATTCGTATGGCATCTATAAATGTGGCTTGTAGTACCATAGTTTCAAAATACAGTGGTAATGGGAAATGATTTATCAGCCATATAAACAGTAAACCCATAAATTTTAGTGGAATGGATGTAGTATTATTTTAAGCTTTAATTTTATAAGATTCATCTGTAAAAAAATCAAGAAGATTCATATTAAGGAATGCATTTAAGTGGAAAAGATGAAAGTTAACTATTTTGATGAATTAATTTTTATCTAATCATCAAAATAACCAAACAAAACTGCATTGCTAATGCTACCTTTATTAGAAGTAATTTCAAGATGTCAACATTTATATTTGATTCAAGAGGATAAACATCAAAATCTGTGCATATCCCAGCATGGTAGTTTCCTTTCTATCTGTAGATTAAGCCATTAACAAGGAGCTAATCCCCTCAGAGTTCAACTTACTGCTTCTAAAGACAAATCTTCTCTTTCATATATATAATTCAGTTTTTTTTGTATACTTCTTCTATAGCTACTGATACACTGAGTTCAGTTTAGCGCTTCTCTAGCTATGGTACAACACACACAAAGGAGTAAAATTCCTACTTACTGCAGGCCTGCGATGACAAGAAGATCTCCAGCAACTATGATTCTATGAATCATCCAGGCAAAGTTGGGACCGTGAGAGGTTCAAAGGTAGGATTGAGGTGAAAACGAGGCATGCATGGATAATTTGGGAATCATGGCCCTATTAGCGTTTGACTGAATGTAAATGCAAAATCGTTTGACCTTTTTATTTTAACTGAAGCCACTTCATCTATAAAAGGCTACCCATACAATGATTAATTATATTTAGAAATTTTAGCCCATTTTAGGTGACTGTGACAAACATAGCTCCTACCTCACTACCTCTGTCTTGAGATTAAGACACGGTGTTTGGCATAAATATTAAGAAAAAGTGAGATTGTGCTGTTGCATAATATTGAATCTGTAAAAGTAGGAATGCTCTAATAGCCACAAAATATGGTCAAATTTGACATGTGAAAATATTTTAGCACTGCTTAAAATGAACATGTGATGCGAACAAAATGGGATGCAGGGATAGGAGTGCATTCTAAGCTTTTATTTGTTTGCATTTTGCAGGACTTGTTCACATGTATCATGCATTTCGCATGGTCAATGTTTTCTAATTTCCCTGTATTGGGTATTATAATTTGAGCTTTCATCTTAATAGGTTAATCTACAATGATTAAGAGCAGTTTGACATTTTATATGTTAGTTTATTTTTAATACTCCCTCCAGTTCTTATTAAAGTTCCCAGTTGGACTTCACACATATTAAGAAAATGAATTTGACTTTACTGTGGAGTGCACTGTTTGACACTGTTTGGCACTGTTTGGACACTGTTTGGCACTGTTTGGCACTGTTTTGCATTGTTTTGTTTCCTAAAATGGAAGTGTGAATTAAATAAGGGACATCCCAAAAAGGAAAGTGAGAACTTTAATAAGAACCGGAGGGAGTATTTTTTTGATGTGGAAAAGGCAAATGAATGGGTCAACCCGAACTCAAACAGTCTATGTAATCATGAGTGTTAGTAAAACAACCAAACGATTCATAATCATCATATGACTTTAGACATTTCAACAAGGATGGGCAAAGTGAAGCTATCCAAGAAAACTTTTTATCCAACGGGCAAAGTGAGTAGACATTTATCATATTAGACCGGTTTAGACCATACTAGATTTAAATAGATCAGATCAGATTAGACTAAATTCAAAAAGTTACATCTTGGGTATCTAATTAATTTCTGTTCAAGTGATGACAAACCGACTGGCCTCAATGCAAGCCTGAAGCCTCCAAGACCAAGCCGGCCAAGGCTAAGAGGAGGCTCAGTTGGATTATGTCTTAGGCTATTTTCTCGGTAGTTATGATTTTTTGTTGCATTCATGGCTCGATAGAGGAATGACCCATTACCCCTTGACAAGGAAACCATCGAGGCCCAGTTCAGACATGACCCATCAAAGGAACCCACCAGACGTTCGTCTTCACAGAGAGGATGATCGGCTTCAGCTTCCTTAGCCTAATGAGCCAGGTGCGATCTAAGGGCTATGGAGAGGATAATCGGCGTGGGCCGAGTGGAGTCCGATCCTTGTACTCATATGCATCCAGGACTCAACAGCAAGGGGACGCTTAGGTATGGACTCGGGCCGGGTGGCCCGACCCGGAACCGGCCCGGGACCGGTACTGTTCCGGCCCGGCCCGACCCGGTGGCCTGGTCAGTGACCGGTCCGGGTAGGCCCGGCCCGTGGGTTTTCCGGTCCGGGCTCGGGTCACCCAAAACAAGGCCCGACCCGGCCGGGCCTGGTTCGGGCCAAAAACATTTTTTTTTTTTTTTTGCAATTTTTTTAAAAGTTTTGGGTTGGGCTGGGTATTTTGGGCCATTTGGGGTGGTTTGAGGGTTGGGGGTGGGAGGGGGGTTACTTAGGAAGAGGAAAACAAAAAAAAAAAAATTATAATGGGCCCGGCCCGGACCCGACCCGGCCCGGACCCGAACCCGGTGGTTACCCGGGCCGGTCCCGGGTCCACCATTTCTGACCCGCCGGCCCGCCCGGGCCTAGGCCCGACCCGGACCCGGCCCGGACCCGAGTCCAACCCTAGGGACGCTCATCCAGGCATTTGGCGGGAAAACAAGATAGTGGCGGGAAGCGCATTTACCCGAGAATCCCTGTACTTAATGCCAACGCTTTGTCTGGCACAACATCTTTTGCCGCTTTGGAATCCCTGAGTAGATCATTACTGACAATGGTCGACAGTTCGTCGGCAAGGGCTTTGAAGGATTCTTGGACAAACGGGGCATAAGACACTCGAAGGCCTCAGTGGCCTATCCTCAGGCCAACGGGCATGTGGAGAACATCAACCAGACAATCATGGACGAGATCAAGAAAAAATTGGATGATTATGCCTCCACCTAGCCAGATCAACTGAATTACATCTTATGGACGCACCGGACGACCCCAAGGATAGCTACCGGGGAAACCCGATTTTCTTTAGTGTATAGCTTCCAGGCCAAAGTCCTCAGTGAGGTGCTCATGTTGACCCACAGGGTGATCCATTTTCGACCTGAACAAAATGAGATGACCCTGCGAGCGGAACTCCATTTTATCAAAGAGCGGAGGGACCTGGCTACTCGTTGAATGGAAGAGTATCACCGGGCCATCGAGGTTGGGGACCTAGTTTTGTGGAAACGCAAAAAGAGCAAACTGCTCGAAGGCAGAAAGATGGCCAAGAATTGGGAATACAAAGTATGGCGTAAATTTGCGCACAGAACTTTTGCCTTACAAACCACAGAAGGATGCTCAGCTGGCGTGTGGAACGTGGAACACCTAAAGAAATTCTACCAGTAGTGGCCGTCGGCCAGACCCTTGAGAAAAAATGGAGTCACAACTCCTAAATGGTCCGGGAAGAGAATTACCTAAATCACAGAAGCTCCAAGAACTAACGACCAAAAAGTCCGAGCGGGATAGCAACCAACACCGGGGAACAAAAGAGCAATAACTTGGAAACCCTAAGCCACTCATTCGAGCCAGTACTTATAGGCATCTCCACCTCCTGGTGATCCAGTGGCTAAGCGACACGTGGCGAAGAGCGTATGCAAGGACACATGTCGCGTCGAGGCCAACAGACGCGTAATGATTACTTTTGCCTTGGAAGTTGGACTGCCCGCCGTAACTGCAACCTAGAGTTTTGGGAACTGCCTAACGACAGTGAACCGTCACATCAGGAGCGTCAAGGAAGCTCGGCCCGAAGAGAACATTTTTGCTTCCTTATGTCCCGCGCACACTCGGAACATCAGAAGTAGAGGACTTGTGTTGAATTAATGGCCCAATAGGGGAACGACCTATTACCCCTTGACAAGGAAACCATCGAGGCCCAGTTCAAGCATGACCCAACAAAGGAACCCGCCACACGTTCGTCTTCACAGAGAGGACGATCGACTTCAGCGTCCTTAGCCTAATGAGCCAGGTGGCGATCCAGGGGCTACATGGAGGATGTTCGGCGTGGGCCGAGCGGAGTTCGATCCATCTACTCATATGCATCCAGGACTTAACATGAAGGGTACGCTCGTCCAGGCCTTTGGCGGGAAACACATTTAATGCAGTAGATTTGGTGGTTGGGAAAATAACCACTTACAATATCCCACATCATCAATACTACCTACCTCTTGGTAGTATAAATAGCACCACCTCCGTCCTGCTATGATTGTCCCATTTTACCTTATCGGTCCGTCCACTAAGATTGTCTCATACCAAATTTGGTAAAGTTTGTGTATCTCTAAATCATTCTTACTTTACAATTCAATATCAACCACATAAACCATTTTTTATTAATTTGTGTGTCAGTCCCTCTTGTCCCATTGTTAACGAGACAGAGGGAGTAGCATTTATTTCATTGTAAGAGGTTGACAACTTATACTCCGTAGCAATAGCAATTACTCCCCTCCTCTTAGCTCAGAAGGACGATCAGCCTGTTAGGCTTGTAGTGAAGTGTGTTGTATACAACTCTTTTATTATTATTGAATAAAAGATACGGACCACTTACTACTCTTTTATTTGTTCTTCCTTTGCTTGCTTCCATTATTTAATTCTCTTAATCCATCCCATATTCCACTCGAAACCCAACAGAAGGTGTTGGACTTTTGGAGTTGAAGGAATAAACCTCAACAATTTTAGTACATGTACTGATGTAAGAAGAGTAAAACTCAATTTATAAATAGTCCTTTCAACAGATTTTCTTTGGGACTATTATTTTATTTTGTTTTGTTTTCCTTTCTTTTTCATGTACTTTTTCTTTAATTTCCTTTCTCGCATTGTACCGTTTTCTTTAATCAATAAAATTCTCCCTAGTCCAAAAAGAAATCCTTACCGCTGTTGAAATTTTGAGAATTCATCATAGAAAAATCTTATAGGGGATAAACTAATACTACGCAATTCATAATTTAGCTAATGAGATAAATACTTTTATATCTAGTTCCATTGTTTATTCTTTTTGTATGGGTTTCAAACAAATAACCTCATGTTCTTTACTCTTTCATTTGTGGAAGATGAATGCTGATTTTGAAAAGGGAAAAGTACGAAAAAGATATTTGTGGTTGGATCCATTTTCAGATAGGGTCATGTGTTTCATTTTTTTATCAAAGGGGTTCATGTGTTTGAATCCCGTTATCACAAGAAGGTCGCGCCGTTAAAAACGCATGAGAAAGGCGAGTAATAGTAACTCCAATTTTAAAAGTGTCCGAAAAATTAAAAGAAAAATACCGGAAGGTGAGCTTCGTCAAGATGACTTGGGCCTCAGGGCCCCAAAAATGTAAGACTGGAGAGGCTTGGGCCTCGGGCCCAAAGTCTCTCCAGCCTTGGGCCTCAACTCATTTTTCGCAAATAGTTTTGTATTTTTGTGAAATGGTGAAATAAGAGTCGGGCTCCTCTCCATTAGATTAATTAGGGAGTTGCCACATGGGCCACTAACTAAATGAGTGGTGAGGATAAAAATGTTGCCAATACTGTTCGAATCCCGTCAACTGCGATGAGGGGTTACTATGCTAAAAATGCATAGGGTCTCTGCAAGTATCGGGGACAGAGCCCCACTCTCTATCTGTCAGATTGGGATTATAGTCCAATTTACATCCTCCCAACGTACCGTCCGATCGGGGTTGGGGGGCCCTTAGGGATGAGGTGTCATCCATTTGCTTTTTTCATTGTAATAGGAACGACACTACTTTTTTCCGCTCAAATCATCTACGGAAAAAACACCTAATTCGATAGGGAGGATGGAGAAAGGATGCTTTCACCTCTAACCAAGATCCAAATAGAAGTGTATATTACAACTTTGGGGCAACAAATAGAAGTAGTTATTTTTGAGAAGAATTGCAGATTAAGAAGAACTTGCTGGTTGATATTTTTGGGGTAGGAAGTAGTAGAATTTGGAGCTTCTATTTTTTTTTTTTGCTAA